AACACGGATGACCGTAGGAATCCGAAATAGCAAAGGGGCAGCCGCCTCGAAGCGAACATCGGAGCAAACATCCGCAAATGAAATGATTAGTTTTACTTTTTTCTAAAGCCCCCCACCCCCGGTTTGGCAGGAACGGTTCCCTTCCGTTCCAGCTGCATCCAGAAAGAGTTTTGTTAAAATTTGGTGCAGGTCGTTGATCTGGTGCAAGCCAACCTTTGCAACCCGTGCAGGACCAGGGGCGACTGCCCAGAGCGTGGAGGGGGCGATCTCTGTTACCTGCCGAGGTAGACGCCGCTACCCTCTGGAAGGCAACAATTGTAGCCATCGGGACGGTACATTGGGACTGCTGCTGTGGCAGGAGAGGTTGCCTTTACCGAAAGGCAACAAAAAATGTTGCCCTTCGGGGGCAATAAGTCGTTCAGCCACATTTTGGGTGCCAAACATGCCTTTTCGATTTACAGTGAGGGAAAGCCGGGGAAAGCGATGGAACCGTATTCACTCCGGTTGCCGGTGGGTCGCGCTTTTGCTTGCCAACATTTTTTTTTTAATTTTAAGTTCCATGGTTCCTTTTTGACTGTCATTTTTTTTTTTTATTTGCATTATATCACAGACTGTCAACTTATGGCCTCCCGCACTTTTGTATTCTTTTAAAGGCCAATACAATTTCACCACCTCTAAAAAAAAATGCTGAAAATTGGCGCACTGGCAAAAGAAAAGTATGTCTCAAGCAAGTGCTGACGCTACGTTGCTCTCACTTTTAGTTGTTTGACGGAACATTTCAATGCTCAAAAGTGATGAACAGTCAAGTTAAACTCTCCAATTTGTTGGTCCATGCAGCTTTTGGACACAGCCAAAATGTTGACAAGACGAGAAAAGCGGCGCCACTAGGTTTCAAATGTTGTGACACGCGATTGGGCGGCCGTCATTGACTATGGTGCTGTTCACTTTTGACTCCACTCACCTGCGCGCCGTGCTCCATGGTGCCGGGCTGCTTGACTGACGCCTCCCCCTCGCGGCCTCCGCCCTCTTATACCGGCCTCCCTCTCCTACGCCCGTCTCTCCCCTTCCCTGGAGCTGGAGCGCCGGCGAGCGCGCGGCGCGCCTTCTCCAGCAGCGCCCTGCTCCGCCCGCGCGGCTCCGCCCTGCTCGGAGCGCATGAGACTTTTCCGCCGATCTCTACAATACCCCGACACGCCGTTCTGTTTGGCAGTATGCTCGGCGCGTCCTTCCGTTAGAGAGAGACGGGTCGCCTCTCGCTCTCGCCCCGTCCGCGGTAGTCAGAGGGTCCTTATTAAACCGTAACCGTAATCTTTTCACAGTACGATAACAGCGGGGGCCCCTCAAACGCGCGTTCTCAGTCCCACCTACGCACGCGCTATCTCACCCTACTATTCTTCCCAAATCAAGTGCCTTGTAGGGGTAATCCGAGAGCACGGCGCTACGTCACCCCCTGAGCCGCCTGCGAGGTGGGCAGGCACGTGGCGCGCGCGTGTAGCACGGCGCTGCCTACGTCACCCCCTGAGCCGCCTGCGAGGTGGGCAGGC